AACAAGACATTGGTCAAATCAGACATGATGGGAAAGAAATGATGTAATATATCACATATAAAAGAGTAACAAATAAAAAAATATTAAGTATTTTAAAATTGAAAAATTTAATGGTAAAAAAATATTAAATTTATAACTAAAAAAAATTTAATACTAACATACTAAATTCTAATACAAAAAATAAATATATCTTTTATTAGTGTGCGTCTTAAATACGTTAAATTTATCATTTGCTATCTCCAATTGATGTAGGACATTTATTAATTTTATCAATTTTTTTTTTTCCGTTTGGAATATGGAATGTGAGCTATAAGCTTTCTCATTGTAGTTTTACCTCTGTATTTCGTAGAACACCATTCTTACCTCTTGTTTAGTTATTATAATACTAATAAAATAATTAAGGATTATTCAACCTAGATGTGTCTTATTTAAAAAATACTAATTATCATAAATTAAATCATAATGACATTGAATGTGTTTTATTTTAGATCATTGTCAACAACTGTCAAAACAGTTAACTGCACACAATATTATACATAATGCATATTTTTTTTTTGGTTTGATTTGGTACCACTTTTATTGTTAAAAAATATGTAATTTCAATGAAAACATATTACAACGAAATTTTAACGACAGTTGTAACGAATTTCCAATGTTACTACACTCGTGTGAATTTTTCAATGAAAATTCTAACAAAAATATTTTGTTGGAATCATGGGCAGATCCATGTTTGTCCAATAGTTCCGACACACGTCTCATCCCAAAACATATTGTATAAAATATCTAACAATAATTATGGGATCATTTTTCATAATTTTAATCATGCCTCCTATTTACTAAATAAAATTCAAAGAAAGAAAGATAGATAATGAACTAATTTACAACTCAAGCAATTATATTGTGATCTAACTCATAACTCAATTAAAGTTTTAGCATAAACGTGCTATCACAACTAAAGGAAATATGATAGTTATCAAAATTTAAAATTTCTCTCTCTCTCTCTCTATATATATATATATATATATATATATAGTTGGGTTCAAGTGAGAATGGTGCCCAGTGAAAGAAATAAGAATGGCTCAGAGCCATTAGATCGGATCATCTAATGGCTAAAAAAAAGGCCAAATTATGCCATCATTAAGGGTATTATAGACATTTATTCACACATCAATAATACAACACTTCAGTGGGCCCCCCATTAATTTAATTCGTTCATATTTCCCATTCCCACAATCACACCCCATCTGTTCACCCCACCTAATTCTCCCTCTCTCACACACACTATATCTCTCTCTCTCACACGCACTCACACATTATACACACAGTGGAAACACGCACGCAAAACACACAACACATACTCACGGCGGAACAAACACACGCACAACACACCGCCGCGCCGCCGCTGACATGCCTGCCGGAACATCCTGCCACCGCCGGAGTCTCACTCACAAATCGCTGTTGAAGCATAGTTGCTGTCTTAAGCGGCCTCCGCGTAGAATCTCTCCGTATCTCCCGTTGTCTGTGCCGTCCCTCACAGCTTGCCGAAATCGTGTCTGTCCGACGGCCTAGCGCTGCCACACAGTTCACGATGGTGACATTTAAGCTTCCGCCGTTGATGGCCTCCGCCTGAAAACGACAGCGTCGCCGCCGAGCGAGAACGGCCGCCGCCTCCGCCTATATTTCTTCTCATCCGTCAGTAGCTGCTGCTCAAATCCATCTCGACGACGCCACCGTATCACAGGTCCCGTCTGTCCGACTCGTCGGTGTGCCGCCGCCGGGAAAAAAACCAACACACATCAATTCCCGCCGCCGTCCATAAGCCCTATGTTATCTTCTGTATCCCGTCGACGCCGCGTCTCTCCGTTCACCAGACCCGGTGGGAAGCATTTTGAAAAGAAATCTGACGAATTTGAGATTGGGGGGGATGAAGTTACAAATTAGATCGTGAATTTGGAATTGGGGCATCAAGATTGAAATTAGATAATACACAGGGGCTAAGTTGCAATTTTAACAGATTTAATTTTTTGCAATTTTGGCATTTGGGTAAATCTGTAATTTTAGTTTGGTAATAACATTTATATATATTATGTATTTTAGCTAATAAATAACACAAAATATTAAACAAATATATTAAAATATTACATATATTTTTATATCATAAATAATAAATTATTTCAATTATTTCAATGATAAACTAAAAATAGGATTTAGGATTTTATTGACTTTTTTTTTTCCAGCAAAAGCACTTCATATATCAACACGTTGCACTTTATAACAAAACATGTTGCACTTTATAAAACACCACGTAGTTTTTTATCACCACACCCCACAATTAACGTCAATAACTCTCGAAAAAATACCACACAACATAAATCTTAAAAAATGTTATATATGATACTTTAACATCAATATCATCATTTGTCTACACAAAACACAAGTGTGCAAACGTACCAAAAATTGCAGTAGCTCGCTTTATACATCAAAACGTTGCACTTTATAAAACAATACGTTGCACTTTATAAAACAACATGTTGCACTTTATAAAATAAGGTGCTGAACTTTTTCGCGACTAGCAGATTGCACTATAGAGTCCGAAACAACTAGACAAAGTTTTGTGTTCAAATTTTGTATTTTGATTCGATTATATGTTCTTTATTTTTATTTTTTTTATCTCGGTTCAATGTCAACTTTATTGTTTTAAATAATCGAACGGTAGAACTGTATAAAAAAATGTTATTTTGTTATATATATTTTTAGATCTTTACACAAAAATAAAAATAGATAAATAATGTTAAATAAACATATTAAAATAATAAATATATACATTCATAAATAAATTATAAAATTATTTGGGTTATTTAGGTTAATTTAGTTAGCCGATCAAATAAACCGATTATTTCAGGTATCGTTTGGTTTGGGAAAAAATATTAAAAATACTATATTTTGAGTGCACATTAGTGTTAGATATGCTGCACATTAATGATTGTCAGATTGCACTTTATCGACAATATCGACCGAACCAAATTCATTGAAAATGCATGCGACAAAAACTGAATAGATTAAATTTCTACGGACTTTTTTGCATCAATTATATTCAATTTAACCCCTGAGTCAAATTTGTAATTATTGGAAGTAAATAAAAAATTATTTTGTATTTATATTGTTATGAACATATAATAATAAATAAATAAATATTATAAAATAATATAAATATTAAAATAACATAAAAATAATTTATAATAATAAATAATTTATATAATAAAAATAATAAATAAATTATATAATAAAAATAATAAATAAAAAGATATTTTATTTAGTTAAGTTAATTTGATGTCCGATTATTCCTATTAAAATATTTTCCGAGAACACATAATTTATCTAGTAAGGTATAAATTTGTGCAATTTATACAATATATATTGCACTTTATAAAACATCATACTGCACTATATAACACAACACGTTGCACTGTATCAACACATTCCACAATTAATGTCAACAGTCCCTGCCAAAATGTTACGCAATATAAATCTAAAAAACGTATCTACGTAATACTCAATATCCATCACAACATCTATAAAAAAAAAGATGCATGCTAACGTACTAAAATTACGATATTTCACTTTATACATCATCATGTTGCACTGTTTAAAGCAACACGTTGCATTTTACATAGCAACACGCTGCACTTTATCGCGATTATCAGATTGCACACTATAGATCGAGACTAGCTGAATTCAATTTCTTTTTTCAATCGCAAATAGTATAAAAATAATAAATAAATTAATTAATATTAAATATAATTTAAATGTAAATAACAAAATATTTTGACTATTTATGATAATTTGATTAACTGAACCGAACATTAATTTCAAATTAATTTGTAACAAAAATCTGTTTGGTTCAATATGCACATTACAGACCGTTATCGTGCACCATATTGTTGGTCGAGTTGCACTTTAATACCTATTAAATTGCACGGTATAATTCATTTATCATCCATAAACAAGATTTTATTATATTAAAAAATCCTGAAAATACAATTAGGTCCTTTAAGCATGTCAAATTTTCAAAAGCAAACCCAAATCTAAATCTTATCCATTAATTTCACATAAGCCCAAATTATCCCCAAATCCTGCCCCAAATCAAAATCCCA